CCATGTGGTGCGCGCTTTCGCTGCGCACCCCCCATTATTTTTTAATTTTTTTTTTAATTTTTTTTTTTTGCGGGGGGGTCTGGAGCCGGGGTTGGGGGTGCCCACCCCCGGAACCCCGGAACCCCGCCGGGGCCCCGGGGCCGGGGCTCGACAACCCTGGTCCACCCTATGCTCACAGGTCATTGAGGAAAACACGCCATGCCGATGGCCTCCTCTTGTGGTCGGCCGTTTCTGTCTCGGATTATGCTAATTCGGATGCATCCGAGTCACAACGTCAGACTTTCGACTCTGCCCAGTTCGAATGTGTCCGAACTCCCCCGCTGTCTTCGTGTTCGACCATTCGCTCTACGAAAGGCAGTCTGATGACGAAGGTTAACGATGCCTCGGATTCATGCAACTAAAACGAGTCGAGATGGTGACGCTCGGGTGGAAGAAAGACGAGCTTGAAACTTGTGCTGCGACTACAGCAAACATGTCTGTTGTTTGGATTGGGCGAGCAACAACCAACTAGAACTCACGAGGATGACGACATCCCCCATGATGACGCACAGATTATAATGACACACTACGACAATCGCGGGGAGGTCCGGTGTGTGGTGGGGCGACAACAAACCGAAACGCCTCGGCGAAGTCGGATTAATGCGAACCACACTGATGGCTTGTTCGAATTTACAACATGCGCAGAGGGTATTGACGACGTCGCATGGTCTGATAAACTTGTACGACGAAAGCACACGATGTCGGCGCAGCCTGTCGTGGTCGCACGTATCGGGACAGCCCCTGTCGAAATCGGATAAATCCGAGCCACACCCGTCTTAAACACTCAAGGACAAAGACACACCGTGCGAAATTCGGGAGGACCCAAGGAAAGTTGGGGAATAACGAAAGCTTGGAAGGCTGGATGGGCGTCAGTAGACCGTGGGGTCCATCCGCCGGTCCCCGTCTCGGATTAATCCGAGCCACATTTGTGAAGTTCAGGTTCAACCGAACCAAACCTCCAGCAGGATAGGGTTAACCCAGTGCTCACAGGTCGGTGACGAAAACACGTGTTGTAGATGGTGCCCTCTTGTGGATGACCGTCTCTGGACCGCGTTGTTCGAATTCGGATGCATCCGATTCACAAACGTTACCGACTTAGAAGGACAAGAAAACTCGAGTTCGGTTTGGTCCGGTCCGCAAGGGGGTGGTCCACACCACTTTGGAGCTCGGATGCATCCGAACTACACCGGCGAACTTTACAATCCGCTTGTCGACTTCGGATGACACCGTATCACCACGGGGTGCACGTCTTCGTCTGCTGTGTCAGCGTTCTAGTGCCTTCTTGCTAGGTATTGCTTTTCCAGTTGCAGGTGCCTATGCGACGTCGGTTTTTCGACTGCGCCTGCTTCGGATGTATCCGATCTATTCCGCGGTCTTCGTTTTCGACCATTCGTTTTCTTAAGGGCATTGTGACGAGGATGGCTCACGATGCCTCGGATTCATCCGAAACGTGCACGCGTGGGGACCACTGTCGTCTAACTATGACTGAAATTCGTTGTTTTGGGGTCCGGGTGACCGATAACAGAATACGTATTGTGGGTCGTGGTTGATGTTGGGACGTGCTGACTGTTCTGAGTGCATGTGGGTTCATTTCCTCTGTGTGTTTCAGGGAATGGCTACACACGGACGAAGCCGCTCCGCTGGTGGTTCCGGCCCGCAYGGAGAGGAGCGTCGAGGGACGACGTCGTCGCCGGCAAGGGAAACGAGTCGGGGAGKTGGCGGTGGGGAGGAAGAACGACGKGCTCAAAAMTTRTGRTGCGACTACAGCAAACGTGTCTGGTATTTGGATTGGGCGAGCCAGGACGGCTCCGACCCGTTGCAACCACCGTGCGGGCCGCTCTTGTTCGTCGTCGTTCGCGCCGACAGAACGCGTCTCGCAGGGTCCATCGTCCAGTGGGTCGACGTTGGCGAATACAATTTCAAGTTTACGTTGAAGAAGCATTACAGAAGTGATGGTTCCATCGACGACATTGCAAAAGGATGCAAGGTTGTCGGGAGGATGTTCAGCGGGTACGGCCGGCGTGCGATGTCTTTGCCGTACTTTGTCCCGCTAGCGCCGGGGCACGATGAGGCCGTTCACGTGACAGACTTCCTTGAGGTTTGGGCGAGATCTGGTACCTCTGTCAGTGCCGTGGACGTCGGACCTGGGACATCGATCAGTGGTCCTGTTGGGTTCGTGGGAGGAAAGTGCTCTGAAAGGGGGATAGGAGGTCAGGATGGCCTGCCAGCTATGCCTCCTGATCAAGAGGTGGGCATGTCAGACGACTCGGAGGACGACCATGCACGTGCTCCTTTGAAACCGGGCTTGCATGGATCTCGCCGCCAAGGTTTGCTTGGGGAGTCGACGCCACGTGGAGGCGGCGATGGCGAACGTTTGTGATAGGGCTCAGAATCGACGACTCCTTGTGGTCTGGTCGAAAGGATCGGTTTGTTCGTTCGTGGCATGCAGGTGGCCGAGGTTTCGCCTGGAGATCGCGTGGGTGGTCCGCAGGTTCGAGAGGTGCGTGGGTCAGATGAGACGACTCGTCGGGCCCGACCTGCGCCTGCGCAACTGCAGACGGAGTTGAGCCAGGAACGAGAAGCAAGTGGGAACGTCGCTGGTGAGGAGGAGATGTCCGAGCAGGGGCTATTCCGTGAGAGAGCGGCTGAAAAGACTCAGTCGGGAGGAAAGCGCAACTTGCTAGATGAGGAAGAGCAAGAGGGAGTAGGTGCTCTGAAAAGGCAAAGAAAGGTAGGAGGGAGTGCTCGGACGCCAACAACACGAGAGGGTGGTTCCGTTGAGAAGTGGAAAAGGGTTGGAGGTGGGGATGAAATGCCAAAAGACTCGTCGACACAGCGAAGAACCGGTGAGTCTTCCGGGAAACGGTCGAAATCATCGAGGGGAAAGAAAGAAGATGAGGGCGACAGCGAGGAGGGAGATGACGACATGGAGATTGACCTCAACGCCTTCAACGTCGACAATGCGTTCTTCCTCAAGATGCAGACAGGGGTGCAGAAGGACGTCGTGTTGCACATCCATCCCGAAAGAATATTAGCCATTCCAGACTAGGAAGACGCGTACAACCACCGATCCTTGGACGAGTTCCTCGTTGATACCATCGCGTCGGCTATGATCGACTGCTACAAACGTAAAGACATGAGATACAAGAAGCCCATTTTCGTTCTCACTCCGATCGTCGCGCCTCCATAGAACGGCGAGCCTGCTGTGGGCGTGCTGCCTGCTGACTTTGACAGCTCACAGCCGGAGAAATACTCGTATTATCCTGTATGTGGACAACATAACGAGAGGGCGGCGATGAAGGTGAAAGACCATCCCGTGTTTGAGTACTACAACTTCTGTAAATGGTTGTTCACGGTTCAGACCGATCTACTTCCCTGATGACGAGTTCGACAGCTACGCCCATGTCAGCTGCGAAGACAAAATGAAAGACAAGAAGAATCCACCGCGCTTGCAAGTTTTGTCTATGCGGGACATTCGCAATATCTGGAAAATTAAGGGCAAACCACGTGTGGTGCTTGGCAATGAGTCGAAGAAAAAGGACGAGGTGCGAAAGTGGGTGCAGTTCATGGCGTTGGCTATAAAGAAGACACCGTACACGCCTTTGTGGAACCTGTGAATGGAAGAAAAGAAAAGAAAGGAATGGGTTGAGAAACTTCGATACTACCTCCCGCTGGCCATGGCAGATGACTCCGTTTTCGCTTTGGGAGATAAGTTATATGAGGAGTGGTCGAAAGGAAAACTCCTTGCTTCCGACGGTCGGCGTTGGACTGAAAAGCCGCCCACCCATGAGGAGGTGGCCAAGCCAGGACTCTCCACTGTGACTGACAGCGAGGGGCTGAAGAAACACGTCTGGTACGTGAAGGTGGACGACCCGTCGTTGAAAAAGGGCAAGGGAAAGCCAAAGAAAGGAGCGGAGGAGAAAACTTTCTACGTCCAAGTTCCTGAGCCGGATGTCCACTACTGGAAGGAATTGGTGGACTTGACGGACCGCGAGAAGAAAAGGCTGTTGAACGGTGTCTTGAACCTTAACGTCGTGTGGGTTCAAACGAGTAGCAAGAAGTTGGCCGAGCAAGGGAAGTTCAGTGTCAAGGAGATGGTCGACATAATAAAAATGGACCGGATTATGCTGAGGCTGTTGCACTACGTGGAGTTCGAGTACGAGGAAATGGATAAGCGGGAGTGGAATGCCAACTCCACGTTCTTCAGGTCCAAGAAGCAACTGTTTGAAGATTTCAAGGACAAAGGTCTCGACGACAAGCTTTGGAACGAGAGCAGGAAATTTTTCACGGACTCCACGTACGTCAACAAGTGCCCTCAGTTTCTCGGGTGTCAACACGACAACAACATCAAGAGAACGGCGACCCTCGTCAACGATCAGCATTTCCAGGCGGAGTGGAAGCGTGTCGTCCTTTCGGTGATCACTGGAGATCGCGCCAAAGGCAAAAAAAAACCTCGGGGTGTTGATGAATGCATCAACATTATGTGGACGAGGACAAGCGCCTTGACGACGCTGGCCCAGTTTAACGTCGACCCATTGAGTGCCATAGATCATAAGGAGGCGCTGGGAAAACTAGGGCATCAGCTACGCTCCCACACTTGCGTGCTCGACTTGTGCGGAACTGTGGACCGTGCGCAATGAGACTCTGGGGCATTCGCATCTCTGAGTGAGTTGCTGGGCTTCGTTTGTCAGGACTACTGGACATTGGTGGTATTCGTTCCCTGTCTTTGGAACCTCTCCTTCATGACATTTTTGTCTGCGCTTGGGCCTACCCGATGCTACACGGGGAAGTGGGTTTGGAAGACGGCAGCGAAGAAGACGCATCAGTTCGAAAACAGCGTCTGGGAGGAACCGGATGTGATGCACATCCTTTTCAAAGGCGAGGATCCTCGGCTACTGACTCACCCGGTGTACAAGGGAGCTGTTGCTGAAGACGACGACGCCGCTCTCCGGACGAAACAGAAAGTGACACCCACGGATGTGCAGGAGAAGTCTTTCAAGTCCTTGACTTTCGCGGACATCGGAAACCTTACCCAGAGGGGGGCTCTGTACAAGGACGGCGAGCGGAATCCGAATTAGTTATGCAATCAGCTTCTTTTCTTCTGTGGTGTGGCGGATGCCGTGCTGTTCTTGGGCAAGCCGCACGCGCAGGTGGTGTGGAGTTTGCTTCAGCAGGGAAGGCACGTCTTGGCCGTGGATGGGGACACAACGCAGCTTGAATACATCGTGCAGTATATCACCCATGAAGTGTCGTCCAAGGCTTACCCATGCGATTTCCACCATGTCGTGGTCGAGCCCGGTTATGACCCGAACAAGGACATGTTCTTCAAGTTGACTCCGAAGAAAAAGCGCCAGGTCTACTCCTTCCTTTACGGCGAACAACCAAGGTTAAGATTTGACCCGCAGTACGTGGTGCGGAAGGAAGTCGCCATTGCGGTCCTCCAGGGCTACCATGGAGCGAGTCGGGCCGGCGCTGTGAGCTTCATTAAGAGGCTCGAATATGTGTTTCTTAACGAGAATGTTGTCGATCCGGCCGACTTCACTTTGGATAACTACAAGCTGGCATTCGGTGAGGAGGACGACTTCAATATCGTGACTGAGCAGGAGGAGAGCGTTGAGGACGACCTCTTCGATTTGGACGGACAATTGGCCATCTTCAACGCCCAAGTTTCTGAGTAGCCGTCAGTATGCAAACCGGGGACACCTCTCGCTACACCCACCTCGGGTGACCCCACGCCCGTGTCCTCGTCAGCGCTTGTCAAGAGGGGTGGGTTGTCCCGTCTGAGGAGTTTGTCGGGGGAGCCTATTCGTCTCACACCGCAGCCCGAACGTCTTCGACCCGGCCATCCAGTTCCTCCGGACCATCTGCATCTCAAGGCTCCTGCGACTCCCTTCCACATGGGCGACAAACACACCTTCTCCACAGCCGAAGATTGGGGTCATTATATCGTGTGGCACCCAGACCATTTCCAGCCAGTCCTTCTCGACGGCGAATGGGCAGTGGCTGTGAGGGACGTAAGTGGAGGGTGGATATATGACGATCGTTGGGACCTCGAGACATTTAAATCTCGCGCCTACGATGCGGTTTGGGAGAGATTAAGTGAGGTCAATCGACGAAGTAAGGACGACGTTGCTCTGTGCGAATACGGGGACACGCTGTTCGATTTACTGCAGTCAAATAAATGGCTGGAAGTGTCCTCCGCGTTCTACGCCCTTCCGTCAAGCCCGTCAATTAAGCAAGTGAGTTGGGAGTTGCCTGCGGGCACCCCGCCGGCAGGAGTTGTGAAGCGCAAGTCTCGCGGAAAGGACGGCGAAGGGGATGGTGAAGGCGGCGGGCAATGAGGTACCGGAGGTGGAAGTGAACAGCGTTCAACAAAACAGCGGTCTCCGGGGCACGCAGGCGGCGGAGAGGGGAAAAAGGGCAGCCGAGAGAAGAAAAAGCCTCGCAGCGGAGAGAAGACAAAGCATCACACAGGAGACGGGCAAGGGTCCGATGTCGACCGCGACGAGGACGGTGGGGTTCTGGCAGTGACAGGCAGCACCTCAGTGGAGACGGGGAACGACTTCAGGCCTGGGTGGCCGATTGTCTCGGATCTATCAGAACCTCGGAGACGACATCGTCGTCCGGAACTCAGTGCCTTCCGGGAAGCGAGATGACAACATACCACGGATCTGGCAACGAGAAGCTCCAACCATGTTCGGTTTCACCTCAAAAGGAAGTTCGGATTAATCCGAACCCGGAAGCCAGTACCGTTGAGAGAGCACAGCGGTTTGCGGAACTCGAACGGGTGGTCCGGGTTTCCGAAAACCCTGGCGACGAAATTCGGATTCATCCGAACCAGGAGGACGTGTCCGCCATGACAGACGACCGGTGTCAGAACACCGTCATGCTAAGCATGGAAGTCCACAAGGAGCTAAAGGCAGACTGCCCGACTGAGGGTGAGTTAGCGACCAGTTTCAATGTCGAGCCCCTCACCCCCAGAGCCGAATGCCTGGTGACGGTGCGCGCTGAGTTAGCAGTCTTAAGCGACTCTCCGGTGAAAGCGGACACGTCGTCGCCATTGAAAACTGCGGTGGCTCGGATGAATCCGAACCAGGGCCCTATGAGCATGTCCCTCCCTGATGCAGCTTTGGAGACGACCGTAATTCAGATTCATCTAAGACACACGGACGAAGGACTTGACGGTTGTCGACTTCTGACGACTTTGGACAAGGACGATTCCGCCGACGACCGGATTGATCCGACACTCGGCGACGTCGGGATGGAGCAACCAGTTCAGCCGGCATACGACAACCCCTTGTACTCCGGCCTTTACAACGAGGCGATGGGAGAAAACGTTCTGAAGAAGTCCTCTGACGCTGTTGGAGATAGATTTCTCTATTTGAGTGACGACGATAAAGACACGGTGCACGAGGACAAGAAGTTAAGGGGGGGAGAGGTGTTGTTGGACATCAATGGGACCTTGAGCACAACACAATGCGACACAGTGGCGACGAAGGAAACCCAACCTGTCGATGTTGTGGACGTCGACCCTCTTTGTCCGGAGACGGACAAACTAGAATTGCCCGTCGCGGACGTGGAGGATTTCCACCATCGGGATGGGGATGAATTCATGTCGTCGCCGGTCATCGACGCCGACATTTCGAACCTGTCAAGTTTCCCTGTGAGTTTGGAGCACGTCGTCGCCGCGTCGACGTGCACGGGGGCGCCAATCGTGTTGGGACTGCCATCGGTGGGCTCTGGTGACGTTGAAGCTAAGCTTGGTGAGCAATGCCTTTCTTTGCTTGCTTCCCGCTCGTCAGCCCGTTCGTGAAGTGTTGTTTGCTTCGTCGATTTCGAGGAGGTGTGTATGCGGCCGCCATTTGGATTTGACAATGTGCTTCGTGAGGTGCTATTTGCTTGGTTGCTCTTGCGAAGTTGTGTTGTTGGTTTCTTGCTGAACTGTCTGGGTGGCTACTTCTTGTACAGGTCGACGAGCTCGTGGACAAACACACATGTCGCAGGAGCCGCCTGCCCTCGCCAGGTTGTCAGTCCTAGTTGCGGGAGGCACTGGTCGTCGCAATGTCACTGATACGTTTTCTGGGGAGACTAAACCTCGGGGCCCTCCCAGAAGGGTTGTCGTAATCGTATTGGGCCCTCGCGCTAGACTCGTTGCAGAGGCAGCGGATGTTGCCGAAAAAAACTGCAAGGAATTCCTTCTCGAGGCTTGCAGGGATATAAAGAAGGACAGTGCTAGTTTAGAATCAGCTGTGTGTGAAAGGTCCAGAAGTAGGGGTGACGTTATGCGTGAACTTTTCGGGCCACAGAGTAGTGTTCGTCGGACCATGGCCGCTAGGATGACGTTTTCTCATAGTGCCCCATCCTTTGTGCTTGCTGTGTGCTGCGGGTGTTTGTTGAACAGGGTTTCCTCGAGACGGAAGAGCAGTCCTTGAAGACGTTATCTGCTCCCGGTTGCCGCTCACTATCATCGTCGCGCGTTTGCCGTCGCACAATTTACAGGTTTCCGTCAAGGACATCGTTGCACTCGTGGATGGATCCGAGGAGCTCAACGATGAGGTCGTCAATTTCTACATGGCGCTGCTACTGGACGACTGCGGCCGGACTACTGCTACCAAGAAGACGTACACCTTTAACTCTTTCTTCGCCTCTACATTGCTTCTGCGAGGTCCAGCAGCTGTTTGCAGATGGGCTAAAGATGTGGACCTCCTGTCTCATGACCTCGACTTGGCACCAGTGCACAAGGATGGCGAACACTGGAGCCTTTTGGCCATTGACTTCTCTAGACGTGTTCTGGAAATCTATGATTTTTTTTCGTGTTCGTCATCCAAAGATAAGTTCTACTCCGCACTTTTAGATAAATCTGTTAAATTTTTGAACACGGTGGCAGGTGCCGCCGGTGATAGTCGCACTTTCGACCACTTCGCTCGCGAGGTCTGCGTGAAAGGTGTCCCTCGGCAGCACGACGGGGCTAGTTGTGGGGTGTTCATGTTGATGTTCGCTTCCTGTTTGGCGAGAGGTTAACGTCCACCTTTTGCTTTCTCCCATAGACACATCTCCTCTATCAGAGCTAGACTAGCTTTGGCGATTTGCGATGTTGGTAGGTAAGCGTCTATCTTCTTGCTGATCATGTAGTGTAGAAGGGTTGAATTAGAAGTTAAAAGAACATTTCGTTCTTCTCCGGACGAAATTTGTTCCTTTTCAATTTTTCCGTGAGAGACTCGTGGATGTTCTCGGTTTGGTTCGGAGCAGAACTGGCTGTCATTGCCAGGATATCTCGAGGTGAAATTGCCATGTCCCCGGCGTGTTTGTCGTCGACAATATTGTTCTTTCTCATTGACTTTCAATTCTCATGAACGTCCCTGTTGTTCGGGCGCCTGTTTCGTGATTGACTTTCTCGCTTTTGTCATTTTGTGTCTTGTGTGGTGTGATGTTCTGCCCGCATACTCGGATGCATCCGAACTTCAACTATCTCTATGCTTTTTTGCCTCTCTCTCGAACCTTCCCCGTCGTCTACACTCATCTATGCATTTTCACTTTGAAGGTCGTGAGGCATCATAGAGAAGAAAATATAACACAAGGGTCTCTTTATACATTTCATGGCCCGTCTGACCCTCCGCATTGGGTGTTTTTTTATGGCCCGAAAATACAACACAAGGGCCTCTTTATACATTTGATGGCCCGTCTGGCCCTCCGCGCTGGGTGCTTTTTGATGGCCCGAAAATACAACNTCTTTATACATTTGATGGCCCGTCTGGCCCTCCGCGCTGGGTGCTTTTTGATGGCCCGAAAATACAACACAAGGGCCTCTTTATACATTTGATGGTTCGTCTGGCCCTCCGCGCTGGGTGCTTTTGATGGCCCGAAAATGCAACACAAGGGCCTCTTTATACATTTGATGGCCCGTCTGGACCTCCGCGCTGGGTGCTTTCTGATGGCCCGTCTGACCCTCCTCGCCGATTGGTGCTACAAAGTGACACAAACTGAATTGAGGTTGCACTCAAGAAGAAATGAATATTGTATGATTGGTCCTCAATTTATGAAAAAGGACTTCAAGATTCAACTTCGTCTCTCTCTCTCTCTCTCTCTCTCTCTCTCTCACACACACACACACCCGCAACTGTGTCTAGTGCGCTCATTTGCTGTTTGCTTCGGACTCCCTCTCCCCTGTCATCTCGGATGCATCCGAACTTGGCTTACTCTCGCCTAACGAAAACCTTGCAGCTCTTGTACAGCTACACTTGTGGTTTTCGCGTGTTCCTCCATTATGCGTCTCCTGTACGACATGTCGGCATGAAAAGAAAATTCAGTGCGATTATCCACACTCTCTCTGTCTCTCGCTGTCCCTGTCTCTGTCTCTGTCACTCTCTCTCTCTCTGTCTCTCAGAAAAAATACTTCTTGAAATGTGTCTCAAAAAACAAAGGGGAAGGTTAGAACTGAAGGGTCTATACTGGTTCGACACTTAGGAAACGTTCGTTACACGAAATGTTGTGGATGATTATACGGTGCTTGTCTTGCGGACTTCATCTCTCTATCTATCTCCTGTGGATACATCCGAACTTTGGTTCCCTTGGAAATTTACATTGCCTAGCTGCTCTACTACAACGATCATCTAAAATGCTTTTAAAAGCGAGGCTGATGATCTACGTGTGTGCTCGACCTTGCGCCTCCTGTGCGGCGTCTCGAGAAAATGAAATATAGTCTCTTTGAGACTCTCTGTCTCTCGCTCTTTCTGTCTC